CTACCAGCTCCTCATAGGACCCCGGGGTCATGATATAATGTAAATGTAAATAACAAATTTTTTTTTTTTTTTTAATTTTAAAACAAGTCCCAAATCAAATAAATAACACAAATAAAATAAATCTCTTCATATAAACAAACTAAGGCTTTGTCTGTGCTCTTTCAATTTAAAATTAGAGGCAACCACTGCATTTTAATCATGATCCAAACAAAGATGAAGCAGGTTCTATTGGCATCTAGCATCAACAGCGAAAACAAAATGGCTACTAAATGAACTCCATTTGTTTTGTGAAAGAAATGACAAATTTGTCAACACCATCAGATGTCACCACCGTATGATTTTCTTTCTGACGGTGCCGACGGGCCAATGATGGAGTCGACATTCCACGTGAAGTCATCAAATTTTTGTGGTTTTCAAGTCATTTTTAGTTATAGTTAAAAAGTGTTTTAATATTTCTAATAATGTATAAATACTGTACTAAATATGTAACCTGATGGCATATATTGCTTTTGTGGATTGATAGTCATCACTTCTAGTAAAGTTAGGGTTGAGGGAACACAACACTGGATAAAACATATCTATACATAATACAGTTTGTATTCTGATCATGTGTGTTCTGATCATTTTTTGATAATTTGTTAAGATGTTTAAATGTAAATATTAAGATCCTGGTGAATGTAAATGGATAGAGGTAACTACTAATTGTTTTATTTGTTCATATGACTGTTTTTAAAAGTTACCTTTGCAGATGCACAGCAGACATGTTAGGGTTCTGAGATGAGAGAAACTAGATAATTTGTGTTCCAGATGATATATCAAAATACGTGAATGTAAGTCTTGAATAAAAACTTCATAAACAATTACATACTGTTTGCAGGGGCGCAGATGGGATTTTTTAACGGGGGGGGGGGCAAGCTGTCAGCAGTCCAATTTTTTCAGTCCAGAAAAATCACCAGCTCTGTCATAGATGATAGTATACGATCACTATGGTTACCGCTACAGGCACAATTGAGGCAGCTACCTGCTCCTCATAGGACCCCGGGGTCAGGAGTCGTAGCACATACACACACAGAGAACGTAAACATCGGTGGCAGCACCATCGTCATGTGTGTTTATTGACAACAGAACAGCGTGTAGTAGGAACGTGGGTACAAAGTAATGGTGACCGGTAGATTATTATTGTGCGTCAGCCCCGATCCTGAAGCAGTGGCGGCGATAATTAAAGGTGCACTAAGCGATTTTTGCCAAACGATGTTGATATTTGAAAGCACCAAAACAAACACGCCTAAACCCCAACAGGACCTCGCCCCTATTTTGAAATCTATGTACGCAACCATGGCAACAACGGTCGCGGAAACAAGTGAAGATAATTCAAATTCAAACATATAATTGCATATTCAAACAAAAGTCAACATGGATAAGTTGTGTGAAACAAAGCAAAGTCAACGTTACTCACCTATCAAAAAGAAACAGCACAACCTTGGCGTCCAATTCGAGCCCTTGCCGCACCTTGAGTTTCTCTCCACTGCTGGAAAGCTGCTCCGATATTTACGCGGATCCTACCGCTTGCCTGATCTTAACCCTTCTTTTTAATGTTTGTTTCTCTGATATTTTCCTCTTTTTTTTTTTATCTGCCATCTCTCCCTATCTATAGTCGATCTGCTAATATCCGTCCTGTGCACTCAAATTGAGCGCTCTCTTCTCTCTATCAGTACAAGACACGCCCCCTTACTGCTGATTGGCTACAAGTGCGTTTTGGGACTCGGTCAGACACTGCGGTCAAAAGCGTTTTTCAAAAATCGCTTAGTGCACGTTTAAGGAGCGGCGGGCCGGGCCGCCACTACTTATAATGTATATAGCGGAAACCCTGATAAATCCTCTGTTTACCGATGTCGCCTTTCGTAGAGACAGTGAGGGGGACGGATCGGGTCACTATGAATCTGGGGGGGTCATGTCCCCCCCGTCCCTGTGCCATCTGCGCGCCTGCACCCTTGTGTCAGTGAGTAAGTAAACACCATACAAGCAGTACAAAAAAAGCCATGTAAATATATGTTTCCACAGAAGAAAAAAAACAGCTGCATAATGTCTAGAAAAGAACATTCTGCAAAGAGATGAACATATGTTTCTAATGTAATAGAGTACTATACAGTTTTGTATAGTGCTCTATTACATTAGAAACATATATTTACATATACAAATGTGTATAGTTCTAGACTAAATGTGAACACGCATTTACTCAAAAACTGAACTTTTATATTAAAAACAAACAAGCAAGCCCAGCTCAGATTTAAAACGTAACGCAAAAGCAATGCAGAAGTAAAGTAACGCATTGCTTTCCACAAAAAGTAACTAATGTAATTAGTTACTTTTTTAGAGAGTAGCGAAATATTGTAATGCATTACCTCTTAAAAGTAACTTTCCCCAACACTGCTTACCATTTCTTTGTAATTATTTTTGAAATGAGCAATTTCTGAGTAAAAGTTGTTCCTTTATCAATTTGTTTTTCAATTAGGTAAAGTAAATATTTTGGGTTCAGCTGCAGTAAAATTAGTTTGACCTGTTAAAGGTGCCTTGATCTAAAGTGAAAAATAAATGGAAGGGAAAACATATTTTGTGGATTACCAATTGAAGTAGCTTAATTTTAGTTGATCCAAATGCAGGTTTGCATAATGACATAATTTAATGTTTGAATTAAAAAATCTATTTGAATTAAATCTATTTATTAAACATTTGTGTCTTATCATATTTTTGTTGCCACCATATCATAAAAAGCAATAAGCCAGCTTTGCAAAAACATGCAAAATATGAGGGTGGGCCAGATTTGTGGAACCCCATGTGAGATTGTTACCAAAATGAAAGACGACTATCAGGATACAGGCACAACATTCCTCCACGAACGCTGGTCCCCTGACTGAGAGCAAAGCAACAATGTGGGGCTTGTTGCTCCAGCCCTTCTGCCCCAAGTAACGCCCTGGCTGACCTTCCAAATCTGACCCCACCACCCAGAGCAGACCACCCCATCAGAAGAGTTCCATGTAAGACGTCTTTGAGCAGTGCACACAGGGAACTTTTCCCTAAAATTCAGCATGCAATTCAACAAAGCTGACTGTGTTTGCATGTACAAGAATATTCCATTATTAATCAGAATTTGGCCTCTTATGATTATGTCAACACACGAACCAATAGTTTTTGAGCATGCAAACATACTTGGCATGTAAATGTGGTCTTGTTTGTGTCAACAAGTAGCCAGCATATAGTAATCACCAGTGTCAGAGATTCATTTATTAAAAACACATTTATATTTATAAAAATTAATAATGTCATTAAATCAAATAATTAATCTAAGTTACGCAATTAAATTCTAAACAATATTGGGTGTTTTATTCATAAATTCTAATAAAATAAGCATGGAAAAGTAGCATTAAATAATCTAAAACAAAATATGTATTGCAGCAAAAATTTATTACAAAAATTAATTATGGATTCATTTTTATTTATTTTTTTGCCCCCACTTTTAAAATATCTAATTTTATTTATTTTAATTTTAATCACTTTTGGTGGTATTTTCCCTCAAGTTCTGGTTAATGTCTGACCCTGAAAACATCAATACTTTTTAAAAATCATCCCAGACGATGTCTAAAGATTGTGTAAAAATCTCAAAAATATCAGGTCGTTTTGATATGTTTGGTTACTACATAAAAATGTAGTGCATGTATCAATTACCAACAAAAAAGAAAAATAAATTATAAATATAAAATAATATACATTTAACCAATCAGAATTTGGTTATGCAAACATCACGTGAACCGATAGCTTTGGAGCACTTAAACATACTTTTCAAAATCATCTGAACCATGAAGATGATGTATTCAGTATGAAATAAATAATATCATAAAACCAAAAGCCCTTTTTTTAACAAAAGACAGAATTAATAAATAGGCGAGAATGCATAAATTTCCAATCTGGATTCCATCTGTAATTAAACTGTGCAATGATGCAACTCATTCATTGATCCAAATGTGAACAGAACAGTATTGTCTACGCTTAGTCTTGGGTTTGCCCTGATTTCTCACTGTCTGGTCATGTAGGAGACTGTGTTTATTTACCCTGTGAGGTCTGAACAGAAGATTCTGGGTTTGTTTTTCATACATAACTGTATAGGCGGGGTTGTTGATACAATCTAACATCTGTCAACACATTAAACACAATACCAACCAAAAGTTTAGACACACTTGACTGTCTTTTGATCTTTAAAGGTGTATGCTTAAATGCTTTAAATGAGTTTTAAATTGTGCCTTTCCAAAATGTAAGATGGATAAGTTTAGCCAGCATACATGGTGGTCACCAGTGTCAGAAATATATTTATTAAGGACCAATATTTATAGCGTATAATGTCATCAATTTATAAGAAATAAAGAAAGTTAATTAAATAGTATTGGGTGTTATTCAAACAAAAAAATAATCAAATATGCAAGTTGCTTTAAGTAAAACAAAAACTTATGAAATACAGTAAAAAAAAAAAAAATGCATACAAAATGAATTGCCTATCGATTTATTTATTTTTGTTTCTTTGTTTAAGCTCCCACTTTTAAAATATCTGGGACTTTTTTTTTATCACTTTTGGTGGCATTTTCCCCCAAGTTCTGCTTAATATCTGACCCTGAAAACCTCAATAATTAAAAAAAAAAGCGCAGGTGGCACCTTATGAAGTTAGCTAAGACTTAGCCAAGACAGTTTTGATTTGTTTGGTCACTACATAAAAAGTAGGTGTGTCCAAATGTTTGACTGGTAGTGCATGTATCACTTACCGACAAATAAAATAAATAAATAAAAGTAAAAAATATATAGGCTAACATCTGCGCCAGTGATTCATTTTACTGAGAGTGTGGGTTAAGGTAAACCAACGTCAAAATACTATTATAGCTTCACTGTCAAATTCACAGCACAACTTCAAGAACCTTCAATGGAGATATTCCTGCATGAACCCATGTGCGTCCTACCTTAGATAAGAGCCTCTTTTCCTCTTTCTTTTTCTCCACATGCTGATCCAAAGGCATCTGCAGAAAATCGTCTTCACAGCAGATGAAGCTCACGGTGCATCCCATCCAGACAGGTTCAGGTGAGCGTCCTTACGACCCATTCAACGCGAGCGTTCTCGGGATTATTCCTCCTGAAGGTCAGCACGGCAGGTATGAGCTGTGATCAAACACTCACGGGCATTTCTGCCCAAGAGAGATCCAACAGGCGTTATTCCATTAGCGTCGGCGTCTCCGCGCGCGATGTTCGCTTTGACCACAGAACTCCCATTCAGAATGACGCACTAAAGTAGTGGGAAGGACTGGAGCGTGAGGGGAAAAGTTTGAAAACTGGGATGTGTAACTCCACTGTCGCGCGCACACACGCCCAGAGCTGCAGGAAACGCAACTGGCGTTCAGTGTAAACACAGGCCGCTACTCTTTAATGTGCGACGCGTTGCATTGCGCAAACAACTGCGCAGGTACCAGAGGGGTTTTCAAGTCATGTGGGTTTTACACCTGAGTCACACTATCTGCTGTCTACCTATTTAGTTATAGATTCTAGTGGCTTTAAGCACTGACATACACATTTACACACACAAAAAGTTCAATAACAACGAGAATGAAAAGGCAAAAAAGTACAGAATGATTTGTTTTGTTTTTAAATATTAATTTAAAAGTCAAATTAAGTGTTCATTTCTATCTATAATCTATCTATCTGTTTACTATTGTCCTTTTGCATTGACACACTATTTTCCTATTGTGATACTGTAAAGCTGCTTTGACACAATCTGTATTGTTAAAAGCGCTATATAAATAAAGGTGACTTGACTTGACTATCTATCTATCTATCTATCGCTGTATTGATTATCTATCTATCTGTCTGTCTGTGTCTGTTTATCTATCTATCTATCTATCTATCACTGTATTGATTATCTATCTGTCTGTCTGTCTGTCTGTCTATCTATCTATCTATCTATCTATCTATCTATCTGTCTTTCTGTCTGTCTGTCTGTCCTTCAAGTTATAGCTTTGAAATTTCAAGCTTTTCCAACTATTTTTAACTTTCAGGAAAGGCTTCACATGGCAGCTTGTTTTTATGGACTTTCCTTTTCTAGTCGTCAATAGAGTTGTAAGCGGTGAGATCAAAGCAATATAATCAACACATGTTTAATCAGTACACTACACGTAGTTACTGATCCATTGTTTTCCTGCCATTGTTTTCATTTACTACACTAAAATTAAAGGTTCAGAGGCTAGAATATCTTGGCTAGGAATTTTCAGTGTGCATTCCAACTTAATGTGCCATTTGTGATGGGGTTATGCATGTCCTTCACACCCTGTGATGCCAGCCAGAATATTTCCAACAAATGGTCAACAGCTATTAATAAAAATACATTTGATTTTTATAAAAGACATCTGATTTTAGCATGCATATAGGTTTAGTTGTTTCTACATTTCTTCATAACGTATAATAAATTTCAGTGTGAAAGTTAGTGTCATGCAAGTAACATTGCAATTTTACATTGCAACAACAAATGTCAATAGAGAGCTCAGAATTATGTCAACATAAAATCATATAGACAACCTATTTTAGTTCTGTATTCTTAGATATTTCCAAGTTAAACTTGATTTTATCGCTCTAGAATTGGTTGCACTGCACCAAAGTATAGGAATTACCAAAATGAAGTCAGTTTGATGTGAGGGATTGGTGACTTCAGCTGAAAAAGAAAGCCAATTCGTAGCACATTTATTTAATTTTTTTCCATTTGGAATAACATGCACGGATGAATAATTCACAGTAAGACAGAAATGCATTCAGAAAGTAAACAGGGAGTTTTGATTTCCTATAAGTGTAAGCCGTGTCTGAACCTAATTAAAACTAAAGAGTCTGTTTAGTATTTGAGAAGACATGAATATATTGAGCATATGTGAATATCACATCATAACCAATATTTGGCTAGAACACTCGAAGCACACAGTAGATTTTGCAGGGAGAGTGCAGCCTTGTCTGATTTAATGAAAGACTTTTCTGTTGTTTATTGCATAGGAGAAAGCTTGGTTGCTGCTTAAGTGGTCAAAAAGAGATAAACAGTGTCATGATTAAAAATGTGTGCTCCTGGTTCGCCTTTACCAGCAGAAAAAAGCACTTTTTAATTGCACTTAATGGGCGATTTAAATCCCTGAATCAATACATCACTGATTCAGCAAGCAAAGTGTACCATGTAAAAGCTTTTGGCCATAATGTGCATGTGAGTGGACACATACTCAGTTTATTCCTAGCAGCTTTAGTGCTTGAGTTTGTGCTGTTATAGGACTTCGCTTGCTCAAGCTGAATGGCTGAATTGCATGGACTGATAAGGAATAGCTTAAATAATGACTTCCTTCCGGTTCAGCAACTAATTTGGGTTTTTTGATCTGCAGTGGGAGTTTTCTTGTTAAACTGTGGGAACAAAATGGGTTATATTGTGTCAGATTTGTCGAAAGCATTTCTTTTAACTCTTCATTTTGAAGGCGTGAAATAACATTGTTTATTTTGACTTAAACATATTAAAGATTCAGTTAGTGAGTGAGTCATTAGACTGATTCACACTGTAAACACTTGATTTTGAGACTGATTCCAATGTTTCATTTAAATAATTCATCAAAAAGAATCTGTTCACAAGAGCCATTTGTTTGTGAATCAGACTTCTTTAATTCTTGATTCCTAAGCCTACACACTGCTTGTGTCAGATTTGTCAAAGTAATTGCTTTTACTCTTTATTTTGAAAGCATGAAATAACACAAAACTGGTTATAGGTTCATTTTGATTTAGACTTTTTAAAGATTCAGTTTAAGTGAGTCAGTAAAATGATTCATCAAACAGAATCTGTTCACAAGAACCATTTGTTTGTGAATCAGACTACACTGTTTGCTCTGTATTTTAATGTCAATTAATATCATATCATTGTGCTATAGTTTTTTTTTTTTTTAATTCTTGATTCCTAACCGTACATACTGCTTTTCATTGTGTAAGATTTGTCAAAACCATATACATGAAATAAGTTAGACATTTTAAAGATTCAGTTAAAGTGAGTCATTAGACTGATTCACAATGTAAACACTTTGAGACTGATTCCAGTGTTATTTGTTAGAAAAAAAAGTTAAAGTCATTTGTTTAAGAATCAGACTACGCTATTTGCTCTGTATGTCAATGTAAAATTAACAGCATATGAATCACTCTTTATTCCTAAACCTACATACTTCTACAGTATTCGAGGGTTTAATTTTGAGAATAAAATGTGTTGTGACATTTCTCAATATTGCTATAGAGATCATAAGTGTAGCCATGACTGAAAACCTTTTAGTTATGGGCAAGCATGCAATATATCTATGAGCACATGATGGGTTTTAGTGTTTGTGTGGATTGAAAATAGAAGTGCTAGTAGATAATGGTTTGGAGAGGGTGTTATCTTTGGAGCAAAGCCCAAACTTTACGAGTCTGTTTAGTGTTACACCACCTCTGTGTCCTCTCAAGACCAAATTTCCAAGACCAAAGTTTACTCATCCATCTGAAACAAACCATCCACACAAAGACATCACAAACAAGTGTTACGCATGTATGTCCTCTTAATGAATTTTCACCTGTTAAAGTAAGTAAAAATCACAAATGGCGTATTGTGGCTGTCTTTTAGCTCTGAGGCAGCTCGAGCTGAACACTAGAGCTTTGTTTTTCTACTGTTGTTGACATTTTTAAGAAAAAGTACCATTTTTGCGCAGAGGTGGGATAACATAATGAAGGATAACTACATTAGTGCCACAATAGCCAAGGTCAATGTTTTTGAGGATCGGTTCACACATCACACACCGCTTTTCAAACTCAGCACTTCTGCATGTGATTTTAAAGATAAGCCATAAGCCAGCTATATTCATATAACCCACTTTCCAATGTGAGCAGTCATGGAAACCAACAGTGCACAAACACTAAAGCTGTAAAATTATTTGTGTATTGGCTTGATTCTGGGTCAGTAGATTATCTGTTTCTGATCGACGATTCCAGTTATCTTTACTGGCAAAGTGCCTGAGTGTAATTACTTAGATTGGGTATTATTATTGAAATGCACTAAGGGCATCTAAGAGTTTGCATGTTAATTTGATCCTGCATTGATATTGCAGAGTCAACAAAAGAGGATGACTAAGCAGGCAGCACAACTTTTTCAACAATGACCATAATAAGAAATGTTCATATTAAATCAGTATATTAAAATGATTTCTGAAGGATAATGTGACACTGAAGACTGGAGTAATAATGCTGACAATTCAGCTTTGCATCACAGAAATATTTACATTTAGTCATTTAGCAAGTGCTTTTATCCAAAACAACTTACAAATGAGGACAATAGAAGCAATCAAAACCAACAAAAGAGCTATAATATGCAAGTGTTTTTTTAAATAAATAAAAAAAAACAAGTCAAAAGAATAGAAAAGAACATTTAAAAATATATTCAAACAGAACACAGCTATTAAATTGTAATGATATGTCAGAATATAATTTTTACTGTATTTAATCAAATAAATGCTGCCTTGGTGAGAATAAGAGACTTTTTTATAAAAATTAAAATTCTGACCCCAAACCCTTGACTGGTAGTGAATAATAATATCTATGATCATCATCAGCAATTAAACGAATATACTGTAATTATGTGGATAAAATAACTGTCACGATCCCCATCTCCAGTCACCAAGCCTGTCACCATTACACATTACATTTCCCATAATCCTCTCTGGTCATCACCTGCACACCCTTCACAATCAACACACCTGCCTGCCATTACCCTCATCTACAGATCTATTTAAACTAGCACAGCACATACACAGATTGTCTGGTCTCGTCATTGTTAAGACTTACCTGACTACCTCGTTTGATACCTACTTGTCTTCTGCAACAGCCTTGACTCCCTCTCATCCACTCTGCTACCCTGTACCTGCAATGACCATAGGACAGATCTCATCTCAGCTAAGTCACCTAAGAATTCTATGAACTGGACACTCGCCTGCTTGCACTGCTGCTTCACCTACATCCTTTAAATAAAGACTTTGTATTAACGTTACCCCAGTTGTCCTCTTCCTCTGTTTATGTGACAGAAGACCAGACCAATTCCAGCAATAACTATGGACATCCTATCTGTGAATTTGCTTCTCACTGTTTTTCAAGATGGCCGTCCTATTGAGGATTATGTTGAAGAATTTCTCGATCTTTCCCATAAGGTTCCATAGAAGGAAAGAAACCCTGAAAACAATCTTCTAGGGTGGATTGGATGATCATCTCTATCAACAGATGCCGGCGTCTGATACAATCTGTTCTTTGGAGCGCCATATCAAATATGCACTGTGGCTAAGTGGTTCGTCCTTCACTGTTG